TAATGACCTAAACCTTGTTTCACACTTACTGTGATGAGACACATGATCAACATTGGGTCAGTGAAACTCTTAACGGATAACCCCACTGGGGTTTAAATAAGAAAACCTTCTTGTTAAAAGGGAGTTTTTCCTTCCCACTGTTGCCAAAGTGCTTGCTCATAGGGGATCATATGATTTTTGGGTTTTTCTCTGTATCTATGAAGCACCTTGAGGCAACTTTTGTTGTGATTTGGCGCTATATAAATAAAATTGAATTGAATACCTGGGACTCTTTACAATTTGGTTTTAGACTCAAAGAAGCTCTCAAATAAGGGGTGAAACGTCTTCACAAAACCTACACAAGTCAAGTCACTTTATTTCAAGCTCATTACAATAGAACGAGGGGGAAAATTCAGGCTTAGGACTTCTTTAAATGCAGAGTTTTAGACAGCTTCATCTACACTTGGCTCTGTTATATAGAATCACAGGTGACTGAGCTCAAGAGTTTCACCAACCTGCTATTCAAACCTTCTGCTGATCAGGGTCAACCAATCAGAAGAATGTTGGCTTAAGACAGTGGTTCTTAAAATTTTTCTGCCATGGCTCACTTTAGAAGCTACAGAAAATAAAAATGTCCGGCAAACCCCATAATAAAATAATCTTCATTTTAATAAAACAAACAAGGCACAATAGCATGAGCTATAACCCGATTTCAAGAAAAGTTGGGTCGTTCTTTCAAATTACAAGTCAATATTTTATTCACAACAGAACATAAATAACATAACATGTTTAAACTGAGAAATTGTACACCTTCATCCACTAAATGAGCTAATTTCAAATTTCAAGCCTGCTACAGGTCCCAAAAAAAGTTGGCATGGGGACAAAAAAGGGCTGAAAAGGCAAGAAAGTTCAAAAATATTTACCTGGGATAACATCTAACAAGTAATTAATTTAACTGATATCAGTATTCAGTCTGTAACATGATTAACAATATAAGGGATGTATTAGGTCTCCTCTGTTCCTCAATGTCACATTGCAAAGGCTTTGCAACTCTCATTATCTACAGTGCATATAATCATCAAAAAATTCAGAGAAACTGGAGATATCTATGTGCATAAGGCACAAGGCCAATGATTATTATTGGATGCCCATGGTCTTCGGGCCCTCAGACGACACTGCATCACTCATCAACATGATTGTGTCACTGACATTACTAAATGGACTCAAGAATACTTCCAGAAACCACTGTTGTTTAACACATTCCACCATGTCTTGTTGAGATCTAGCAAGAGTAGATAGTTGCTCGGACAAAATTCACAAGATCATACAAGATTTTTTTTTTGTAATGTTTTGTAATTTTAACTTATTTTATGTATTTTATGACTATTGTTCCTTTTATTAATTGTGTTTTTTGTAAGGTGACCTTGGGTTTCTGAAAGGCGCCCTCAAATAAAATGTATTATTATTATTATTATTATTATTTCAAAGTGCAGGAAAATCTCTGGGGTTATAAGAGGCAGTAAAGCATACACACACAACATGTATGCTATTGCTATTTATTGTGGTTTAACATGTCAAGGACAAACATATATATTGTCTGTCTCTCAGTGTTAGCCCTGTGATAGACCGGTGACCCGTCCAGGGTGTACCCTGTTCCTCGACTCCAACCTTTTTTTTTAAGCTTCAGTTATACGAAATATACTAAACAACTGACAAATAACTAACCACATCTGCTTAATCATCTCCAACACCCTGAAGGACAGCGGGGAGGACAGCGTAATTTGCAGTCCACAAATATAATTAAAGAGGACATGAGCAATTTTGGATTTTGCAACGCATGGCATTCCCTTCACCTCAACCGTAAGGAATATACTTTTTTCTCACATGTCCATCACTCATACTCTTGTCTGGATTATTTCCTAGTAAACAGCTCACTGACACTGAAATACACCCTATAGTTGTCAGCAATCATGCTTCTGTATCTTTAATTTTAATACATAAGAAGATCATTCCACCAAGTAAAAACTGGAGATTTGATACATCATTGCTTACAGATGAAGATTTTATTAAATATTTTAAAAAAACAGTGGGCTTTATATTTAGATTATAATGATCTCCCTGGAACATCCACATCTGTTCTGTGGGAAGCAGGGAAAGCTGTGATGAGAGGTAAAGTAATTTTATTCTCATCACATAAAAAGAAAACAAACATATTCAGAAATGAGAAGAAATCATCAAATCTTTAGAAGAAGCCTTTGTGTCATTTCAGGAACAGAAAATACTGAACAAAAGATGTAAAACAAAACTACAATTAAATGAAATTATTAATTGAAAAAAACAGTTCTTAGTACAAAGATTTCGCTTGCAAAATTTTAAACATGGTAACAAATCTGCTCGATGTCTAGCTAACCAGTTAAAATTAAATAAAGAAAAATAAACTATGTGCCATTAAAGACTTATCTGGGAACACCGAAATAACCAAACAGTCAAGTCATAGCACTGGAATCACCACTGACATCAGGTGAGAATACTACAAAGAGTTTTGGACAATTCTGGCACCAGTATTCCACAGAATGTTGCAGGAAATTAAGGAAGATGGCAGACTACCACCAAATATGAATTCTGCCAACATTAGTCTCCTGATAAAACCAGGCAAAGACCCTATATTTCCCACCAGCTATCAACATTAATAAGCCTGGCTAGACATAGAACAGGCACTATGCAATAATATGGAGATTTTGGATCTACCATTAATCAGCTCAAACATCATACGACATCAAATGATCTCGTCTTTTTGTCCCACCTTTGTTATTATACTTGATGTGGGGGGTGGGTAAAGGCGTTGAGTGTCTGGGGATTGCCTAGCGACAAGTTTTTTGGGTGGGTTCAACCCGGGGGCTCTGGTCGCTCTTGGGTGGTATTTTTCTGGTGGCTGGGGGAGGGTCTGTGTCGGCGGACGTAGGTTACCGGCCATGGGTCTGGGACGGGTTTGGTGACTTGGGGTTCTGGGGATGCTCCGCCTGCGGGCTGGGGTTCTGGCTGGGCCTTGGTGGCTTGGGTCCTGGTTGGTGTGTTGACAGGGTTGTGGGTAGGTGCATGCCTGGGGGCCCACCCCTAGCGCAGGGGGGCCTCTGGTGCGTCTAGGTTGGACAACTGTAATTCATTATTATCAGGATGTCCTATTACTCCCTGAAAAGCCTTCAGTTGATCTAAAATACTGCAACCAGAGTAATGACCAGGACTAGAAAGAGAGCGCATATCTCACCCCGTATCCGCTTCCCTTCATTGGCACCCTATTAAATCCAAAATCGATTTTAAAAATCCTGCTCCTCATATATGAGGTCTTGAATAATAAGGCCCCTGCTTTTAAGGTCCAACCCTACTTCCCTACTTTTAAGATCAGGCTTAAATGTTTGTTTTTGATCAAGCATATAGTTAGGGTTGGATCATGTGACCTTTAATCCTCCCTTATGCTGCACTGACTGTTTCTTCTTCAGTCACCTTTTTCACTCACACTGTGTTTATACCTCTCTGCATTTAATCATTAGTTGTTATTAATCTCTGGCTCTCATCCACATCACGTGTTTGTCCTTTCTTCCTCCCCTCACCCCAAACCAGTCATGGGAGATGGGTGCCCCTCCCTGAGCCTGGTTCTGCTGGAGGTTTCTTTCTGTTAAAAGGGAGTTTTTCCTTTGCACGGTACCAAAACACTTGCTCATAGGGTTGTTTATATGATTGCTGGGGTCTTTTCTGTTCTCTTTGTATTATTGTAAAGCACCTGGAGGCAACCACTGTTGCACGATATATAAAAAAAATGAATTTGAACTAAATAGAAAATTAAATTAATCACCAGCACCGTGACCTCTGGGTTAAAGAGGGAAACCTTCCAGCATGTTACCAGCATTCAGTTCAAAAGGTAGAATCTCGGATGATATTGGGGTACATAAGTGCATTCGGTATGGGCAGCTTGCATTTTTTGGAAGGAACTATGAATGCTGAAAAGTATATAAAGGTTTCCCTATAGAGAAAATATGGCACATCATTAAATGGAAAATACGTTAAAGACAACCACAAACTCTTCAGCAGCTGGAAACCTATATCAGGCAAGAATGGGAATTCCAACACCAAATCTGCAGACTCATAACCTCGATGCCCAGACGTCTTCAAGAAGTTTTGAATAGAAGAGGAGATGCTACACCATGGTAAACATGCCCCTGCCCCAATTTTGAGACCAGTAGCAAGCATCAAATTTGAAATGAGCTAATTTTGTGCATAAGATTGTAAAACTTCTCAGTTTAAACATTTGTTATATAATTTATGTTCTGTTGTGGATAAAATATTGGCTTGTGTGATTTTAAACTCTTTTAGTTGTCATTTTGTTCAAATTCAAAGTTTAGAACCCCCCCCCCAAAAAAAAACAAAAACAAAAAAAAAACAAAAACAAAACCCTAAAACCTAATTCTAACCAATTTTAATAACACAAAACGGACCCTTTAAAAAAAAAAAGAAAAAAAAAAGTAATATGTAGTGAACAATGATTGGCAGACAACCAATTTTCGACCCCACTGACGTGCCAAAACTGTATCCAACACTCACAATGTACTCAAAGGTATGATGAAGCATTCAAGGTATTTGATAACTGAACACCTGCATTTAAAACCATGAATATTAATCTGCTACTATAATCATTTTCAATCTGTTGATTTGCTCCAGATTAGTGAAGTCCAACACTGAGGAAGTGACGTGATAAGCAGACATTCATAGATCCAGCTCATCTCAAAAGGTGCTTGAGGGTCAAACACCAACAGATTCCACATGCTTGAAGTCTGTCTGTAAACATTTGTCCATTGGGTGTTTGTTTTAAAGCAGTAGTAGTATTTGTTGAAGTCCTCATAATGTCAGTGACCTCACTTTGTGCTTTAACCTTGAGTGGATTAACTCAAAAACACAAAACATACAATGTTTTCACAAAACAACAAATACAAAGAAGTTTCTGTCGGTGCCTGATGGCACATTAAATATCTGTAATGTAAATCAATCATCGTTTCATCCATCACTCATCGACTTTGCGAGCTCGGCGGCAGAATGTCCAATGATGTTCCACTGTGTTCTCATTAGCCCGTTCGCTCATGTGATGAACACGTGTGTTGCGTATCGTAAACCCCTGAAACATGAAGATGGACACAAAGTCATAGCACCACATTAAATCCAATTATATTATTGACTATATTTGGTTTTTAATACTTTGATTTCTTCCAAGATAATTTATTTCTACACACAATGCTAGCGGTGAGCTAAAAAAAAAATGGACTCACAGATTTGGAGATGAAGTCGAGGAGGTGGACACGCAGGCTGACCTCCTGTTGGTGGTCACATGGCCCGAAGGTGAAGGACACCTGGTAATCTCTGGTGTCCATCATGTGTTTGTTCCATTTTGTGAAACTGCAGGAGATTGACTCCAGCATTGCATGGATCTGGAGAAAGAGAGAACTGTGTGAGTGGTTAAACTTTAACACCGTCTCCACCAAATATGAGATTTTCTGGAGCAAATATGAAGACATTGACTCATCAATAGCGACAAAGCTTTCACCAAGGTAGGAGAGGGTGTTGAGGTTGTTACATATGTACAAAAGTACAGCTGTGCATCGTGAGCATAGCAATAGGAGAAGCCCTTGAAGCAGTTTAGTAGATGATCCAGGGTAATATGTATAAAGAAAACAAAACTGGATCAAGAATCGAGCCCTGAGGTACCCCTCACATGGGGGGCACAGATGAGGACAATGTAGTTATTAATAAGAATTCTGATGGATCTTTTAACTGAGTATGATCAGAGCCTTTGAATGGCGAGTCGTATCAGTGGGGACCCAGAATGCGGGCTCGACACGTTGTTCATATAGACTTCAGAGTAAAAATGTATACATAATATAATTATACAAAGTGCTAACAGAAAACCTTACAGTGCCTGCCTTCTTGACATACTGTATTTAAGTTTGTGTGTCACAGTCAAAGCTGCTGTTGTTAATTTAATTTTTCAACATTGTATGCTAACCAACCCCAGTCACAACTTAGTATTTTTTGTTATTATTAATGGAATATAGATTTTTAAATCATTATAATTTTTTTTATCTGTCAGATTTTCTTCATTGTGTTGTCAGTAATTCCACAATAACTCAGACTGAAAATAATCTTAATGACAAATTAATTTAAGACTTTCAAAAGAAAGGATGCGATTGTCATGTGACTCTTGGTACTGTTAGCTGACATCAGAATGATTCGGTGGACCAACATGAGGTTTGTTTAGAAAATACATTTCTCACTTAATAGTTTAAACATAAAATATTCAGACACAAAAAACACAAGTTAGAAAAATTCACAAATATGCTCTTTGAATCTTAATTATACCTATATATTCCAAAAACAGCTAGCCATTTACCTTACTGTTGTGCACTTATCATTTTATTACAGCAGTGGATAAATATGTTTAAACGGGCCACAAAGCTACAGGCCGTAATGTTATATTTCATTCAACCAGCAAAAGTTGTTTTTCTAATTTCATAACATTAGGATAAAATTATAAATATTTTTTTGTTCCTGGTTAATATTAAGTGTTTGATGTGTTATTGTCAACTGGTCATATGTCCAAAATCTACAAATTAATTAATCTTCAAATTCATGTTTTTATAGAGTGATCTTCTGTGGGAGCAGCCGATCACATAATGTATGAATTTTCTTTTGGATTAATAACACTCTATGAAAAAAATCAACTAACATGTTTTACTCCACAGCTGAAAGTGATTTCTGCATGGTAATACCTTACTGTCTAGTTTTTTAACTTCTTACTTTCTTAAAAGTGCATCCCCAGCTAGTGTTGCTACCTTTCAGGAACAATTGCGAGACACTATGACACACCATTGCCCTTAAAACATTTTTTAAAATTGGTCCACTAGAATGAACAGAGAAGATGCGACTCTCTATTCAACATCTCTGAGTATAAACCCATTTGAGAGCAGTGCCAGAGATACCAACCTAGCTGTGTAAATCTAGATCTAGATCTGTCAGTGGTGTCTAAAACTAAAGGTAAGTCTTAGAGGACTAAAATGGAATATTCACCCTTATCTGGGTTCAAAAGAATATCATTAGCATTTTTTTAATAATACTGTTTCAGTGCTGTGGTGTCATTAGTAACCAGACTTGAATTTATCAAAGATATTGTTTTCCCTGACAGGTCTATCAAGACTTTTTTTTAATTGAATGCAAGTTTAGAAATAATTCTGTAATTGGGATCTAGAGAGTGTTTTAAGCAGAGGGAAGACAATGTTTTGCAGTAATATGGAATGCAGCCAGATGAAAGGAAATGATTTATTTTAGACTAGGAAAGATAACTGGCAGGACATCATTAATAAATTTAGGAGGGACGTCAGCTTGGAAGGAAGAAGTACCTATGTGGGAGACTATATTTTAAGGAGATTTTAGAAATCAGATAAAACTTGGAAAAAAAAACTTGATGAGACAGTTGAACAGATGAAAAGGATCAAGACTTTTCCATTGTCTTCTACGGCAATGAATCTAATCTGTCGGGCTTTTATCAGAGCTATGCTATTGAGAACTGATGAACATACACTAACAAACCAATGAACTAAATCACTAAATTAAAAAAATAAAATAAAATTAGGTGTTGATATGGGCAGATTGGAAAGAAGAGCTGAAAACCTAGCTGCTGAATTCTCATTAATGATACAAGACTGAGGAGTTTGCTTCTGGGAAGACTGGGAAGAACACTGGCTCTGACAAAAAAAATTATACAGTCATGTGAAATACAATAAAATTATGGAGTCAAATGAAATATTCTTAACTGTGATGGGATTAAGAATATACATTAAAAAAAAAAGCTTTACACTGAACAACATAACAGGTTTTTAATGATCAGATTTATGAGCAGAGAAGCAACGCAACAAATACGAAAGGATTAACATAAAGCTAGACATAGCTTCACTGTCTGATCATAGCCATTTAATATTCAAATAACTTGTCAATCAAATATCATATCGAAACAAAAAGAAAAGAAAGGCATGCATTTAATTTCTCCACTTCATTAATCCAACAGATAGTTCGCTCTTTGAGGAGCCAGTCTGACTGAAGCTTTGTGCAGCCATCTGTCCTACTACAGAGCACTTTCTGCTGTCACACCACACCCACTGGGGAGATAATGTCGATGTTTCACCCATGTTTGCTGAGAGAGTGAAGATTTATTGCTGTGGAAGCCTTGAAGCAAAAATGTAATCCTCAAAATAACAATGATGCTTTTTTGAGGAGTTGAGCAACAAAACTTGTCACACAAGTACATTTTAGTCCCCTGAAGGTTCTAATCTATATCAGATATTATGATGTCATCGTATTGCCTAGCAACGATCTAGCAATGGATTAAAATGACCTGTGTTTACCTTTTATACATCTGTAATGCCTTATAAAGAAAGTTTATCTTATGACAATAACACCCTCCATCCATCTAAATCTACAGCTTCACTTGTCCTCAAATGTCCCCTCCTGGTGACACTCCTGCAACACCAATCTGTCTGTAAAGCTCCAGTTTCACTCTCCCCTCTTGAACAAGACCCAGAGATATTTAAACTCCTTTGCTTGGGGGAGCAGCTCATCCCTGACCTGGAGTGGACACCTATCCATTTCCTGCTAAGGAAACCTAATTTTTAATTAACAAAAGCTGAATTATGCATGGCATATTATGATGCAATCACATTGCCTGGTAATCACCCAGCAACTGCCTTCTTATTGCCTTTATGCATCTACAACAGCTCACAAAAACATCTTGTTTTTTCGTATAATTTCAACAACATCTCATTTATATCTACAAAATCATCAGCCACCGACTCCTTTGCTTCCTTCCCCACCTCCAGAGCTTTCCTCTGCTTCTGTGAGCCCCTCTCACAAGTTTCAAGCCACATGAAGGGAGACCCAGTGCCAGTCTACACTGCTGAAGTGTGCCTTTCATTAAGCAGGCAAGGAAAAACCTGAAACAAAGTGTGAAAATCAGGAGGTCACAAATAGAAGAAAGAGTGCTGTTCTAGGAGTCAAGGTAAAGAAGTTTAACACTTCTTGGAAAGCTTTTACTGCACACTTAAGGTATCGTCAGTTCACCCATCTGTAAGGTGCTTTCACATGGGCTGTGATTTGAAACATGTTATTTTCAGTGGTTTCCACCTTGCAACGATGGTCTGGTGCTGTGCCGAGTAAAGTGCAACTGCAGCACAGCTTGGGAGATCCATTGGATTTGAAGTTTGCCATCAGCATCATGGCATACAAAAAGGCATCTAGCCAAGCTAATTTTATAAGTCTGAATTACCAAAATTACACAACACATGTTGAGTTTGTATCGAGACCACAGGAGGAAAACCCTTCCTTGAAAGGGTTTGCATTAAAATAAAATATACACAACAAGTGTGCTAACAGTCCTTGAGAAATGTACATAAACAAAGCGTAGATGTGTTATGAACACTGTGTGGATCCCAATATAGAGGTTTCAAACCTTTGCAGTTCAGGTTTCAGCACTCTCTCACCTCTTATTCACTTTGAACATGATGGTGCAATTTGTTGCCAATCTGAATTGTGGATTGTGGAGCTGGAAAATGATGAACTTTTCTAACAGGATCCAATCAAATCAAGTTATAGAGAATAGAGAAGATGTTGCTTGTGCAGCCTGTTAGCTGTCCTGTAATTGCCCTGTTGTACATGAGCACAGTAACAGTTTATCTCACACTAATGGTCTATTAGTTTGCCTTGTAAGTAATTTGTTGCTGTTGTTGAGGATTGAACCAATGTGACAGAGCAACCTGAGCACTGAACAGCCTCTGGGCTACAACCCGCTACAGATCATAGAAAATTAGGATTAATGTATAAATTCAAAACGTATTTAAAATTTTGTAGAAAAAAGCAAAAAATACTGGTAGCTGCTACTCCTCAGTCTCCTAGTAGATGTACCTTAGCTATATATTTGAAAGTCCTAGGTCATATGCAGAAAAGTTGACCCCTGACTTTGAACTTGAGGTCAAGGTCACTGAGATTCAAACTCATCCAAGGTTTTTAGTAATTGCGTCTATGGTACAAATTTCAAAATCCTATGTCATCTCACTCTCAAGTTATTGCATTCACAACCTTGGGTGTCCACGCTGTCCACCTGCCCAGTTGGGTCATGAAAATACGCCATCAATACACTTATGATTATGGGTCAAGGCTTCATCAGGTGTGGCCTCCAGCTCGCACTGGAACAGTTTGCAGCTGAGTGTGAAGCAGCAGGAATGAGAATCAGCACTGAAGTCTGAAGCCATGGTCCTCAGCTGGAAAAGGATGGAGTACCCATGCCGGGCCAGGAACGAATTAATGCCCCAAGTGGTCGACTACTGGTGTTGGCCAGAGGGGCTGATGGCGCGATATGGCAGCCTCGCTTCTGTCAGTCTGCCCCAGGGTAGCTGTGGCTACAACTGTAGCTTGCTTCCACCAGTGTGAATATGAGAGTGAATGAATAGTGGAATTGTAAAGCGCTTTAAGTGTCCCAAAAAGCGCTATATAAATGCAATCCATTATTATTATTATAAGTGAGGGAGTTTAAGTATCTCGGGCTCCTGTGAGGGGAGAGGGCATGTCCCACCGAGAGGAGGCCCCGGGTAGACCCAGGACAGGCTGGAGAGATTATATCTCTTGGCTGGCCTGGGAACACCTTGGTGTTTCCCCAGATAAGCTGGAGGAGGTGGCTGGGAAAAGGGAGGCCTGGGTTTCCCTGTTTAGGCTGCGCGTCCACATTGAAATGGCCGAAAACACTTACATTCCAGTACTGCGCATGCGTGAAACGCAAGAAGATTCGACCTGCCTCATTTCTGTCTGCTGCTTATTTACTTTCCGGCTCTTTGAAACATCGTGGCAAAATGTTGAGGAAAAGCACCGAGTTTTTTAAATGGACTAACTATGAGGTGGAGTTTTTGCTGCCAGTAACACAAAAGTACAAAGTTGCAAAAAAGAGTTAAAGAATTTGAAGAAAAGCTATCTGGAGCATGTACAGACTGATATTAATCTTTAATAAGGCTGTCAAAATTGAGAGCAAACAAAACAACTGCTGTGTCTTAGTTTAATTGGTCACATGACTGCATCATATGACTAACATGCGTCATCCTTTTAGAAAGTTTGCATTTTTGCTGTCCACACTGTGACGCAAGAGCAGTTTTGCACGTTTTCAAATGTATGCGTTTTCGAGAGCGTTTTGAAAACGCTGCGTTTTCCATGAGTGAAAGCGCCATCTCAGTGTGGACGGGAGGCCAAAACGAAGAGAAAACAACGCAGCCAAAGCTACTGTTTTTATTGTTTCTTCACCACTTCCAGGTGTGAGGACAGTGAAGAGAGAAAAAAAAAACCCAAATACTGCAGAGTCATCACACTCTTCAGAGTCTGTGACAAGAAGATTTTAAACTTCAGTGAACTTAGAAAGATATTCAACAATTTAAGATTCCAGAATTAATAATATATAAGGGGAAAAAATGCAATACTGTCACATCACCTATTTTGTAGTGGTTAAACTAGTTAAAAGAAATAACCTATTATAGGAGTCCCAAATTAGTTATGGTAAAACTGTAATAATTAGTATTATTTTTTAAAAAGTAACATTTCCAGGCAGCATGTATAGACACTCAATGGAAAATGCAAAAGCAGTAGCAGAACTTAAAATTTATGAATCCGGCATTAAGCATAAAAAACAAATCACTTTTATTCAAAATTGTTTTTTTTTTTCTAGAAGCAGACTCAGAAGCAGTCTACAGGAAAAATAAATAAATATACTGTATAATCTGCTGTGATAGATCAATACAGCCTGACCAGGCCTTTTCCCACTAACCTTGGTGGTGATGGTGAGCTGGGTGATGATGACTGCAACAGGATTGGAGTACTTGGAGAGCTTCCTGGTGCTGGACAGCTCAACCACCTCTTCATAGCTGTCTGTGGGGTAGGGCAGATGCGGCTTGGGGTCTCCCAGGCACTGGATAAGGGGCTCAATCTGATAGAAGTCAGCCTCCTTTCTTAGCAGCTCTGTCTCCTTGAAGTCACATGGCAATGTGAGCTCTGACGTCCGCAGGAAGTTGAGGATGTAGCTGAAATAGCAGAACCAGAGACAGGATCAGTCAAGACTGCTGAAATAGCAGAACAAGAGACAGGATCAGTCAACACTGCTGAGCCAACAATTCTGAGCTGTCAGTTAAAGTTGGGGCAGGAGAGCTGCTAAATGATGTGCAAGTAAGCTAAACAATCATGTTTCAGCTAGTCTAGTTCATTTGCTGTTATGGAGTTCTTGTTATGGATAAAAAATGTATTTTTTTGTTTCAAAATAGTTGATAACTATTCGCTCATAGCTGCCAACATCTGCGAACAAATATTATTCTATAAAGTGGTTCTATATAGTTTGTAACTGTTCATATAGAGCGTTATTAAATTTATTGCTAATGCAGTCGTATATAGCAGTTGGAATGTTTCAGTTAAATCCTTATTGGCTAAATATACTGTTTATTCATTTATAAATTGTGTACACAGGAACAAGAATAACTTAAATAGCAGAACCAGAGACAGGATCAGTCAACACTGCTGAGCCAACAATTCTGAGCTGTCAGTTAAAGTTGGGGCAGGAGAGCTGCTAAATGATGTGCAAGTAAGCTAAATAATCATGTTTCATACATTTTTTCCTAATGTTCACTCTATATGACATTAAAGAGATGTTATATAGATTGGGGTGGCTGTGGCTCAGGTGGTAAAGCATATCAGCTACTGATTGGAAGGTAGGTGGTTCAATCCTTGGCTTCCCCATGCCAAGTATCCTTGGCCTAGTTGCTCTCCGATGCATTCATCGGAATGTGAATGTTGGTTAGACTGAACTTGAGTTTAGAAGTGCTTGTATGAATGGGGTGAATGAGACATGTTGTATACAGTGCTTTTAGTACTCCAGGAGAGCAGAAAAACGCTATATAAGAATCAGTCCATTAAAGAGAGAGCATTTTCCGAATCATTGTCCAACAAAAGGTTTTCCCTACTGACTTTGATTTATTTATATACTACAGTGGAGTCTAATATGTGAAAAAGCATCATTTAGTAGATTTATGTTATTTTAATAATCTGTCCATCCAGTGCATCCATCGTCTACCACTGCTCCAGGTCCTGGAGGATGCTATCTAGGCAGAGATGCCAAGATCTTCCTCTCCCAAGCTAACTTGTCTAGCTCTTCAGCGAGGCATTCCCAAGTCAGCCAAAAAAGCACAGAGGGAGATGTACTAAGCGGGACAAATTAGTTTAAGGTTGCAAATGAACCAATGGGAATGGAAAGTGGGACTCACCCAATTATTGGAGTTGATTCTAATTTGGTTGTATTCTAGTTTGTGTGAATGTGAGTATGAATGGTTGTCTGTTTCTCTGTGTATGTCCTAGAACACATTGGCAACCTGTCCCGGGTGTACCCCATTTCTTGTGCCATGGCAAGACAGGCTCCATTCCCCACAACCCTGAATTAGATAAGTGGGGAAAAAAAACAGATGGATGGATGGCTATACCAAGACGCAGCCACTTTATTTCAGTAATGACTGGCATTCTGCCAAGAGCAGCACAAATTAGCAGGTCATAAACAAACAGAGCCAATGAGGAAACGAGTAACATACTGATAAAAAATTACAGTGTAAATGCAGAGTTTATCAATTTGTTTCTTTCTGAAAAGAGCAAGGCAATTTAGATCAGTGAGAGGAAGCTAAAGGAAAAATCAATGTTTCTATCATAAGGGCTAACTCATCTGTTAAAAAAAGAAATAGCTAGAGACTGTGTGTGGATAAAGGTGTGTAAATTCTGGAAGAATCTGTATCCTTGTATCCCTCAGACACACCACATTAATTTCTGCTCTGTTTCACTGAAATTTTATCATTACTGAGGACCAGACAGACAAACATTCAGGTTAAGGACTCAATGTAAAGCTTTAAGAGAGAGACAATGTTTTGGCATTGTGCTGACAGCTTTGAGCCATCCACCTGTGCCAATTACACACTCATTCTGATAAACTCTCCCTCCATCATCACACATGAAAGAACACTCCTAGTGGCAACACATACATATCAGTCACAAACTACGATGCTTTTTCTGTATTAAATCGAGCACAGTCTAATGCCACATACCTATATCAGGTCTGTGTGATTTATTTAAATAATGTCCTCCTAAAATGTTGTGTTATGAAAGGAAAACTTATAAATTCTTATGAAAGAATACACAGGCTGCAGAATTTCCCTTGGTCCTCCAGCAACCACCACATTCTGGTCAGATGCCCGAACGAGCTACTAGCAAATTATTCTTTTTATTTCAATGTGTTTCATTTTTGTTTTTCTTTTTGCTCTGGAGGTTTGCAAAGGCCTCTGCAGCAACTCGAGTCCCCTGAGTCCAGCCTCTCTTTCATCATGAGATTTTTGGACTCATTTTTCATTCAGCCATGCTTCACAGAATCCCAGGAGGTTTTGAGAAGAACAGAATAACATAGTTCAGGGTCAGACTGAATAAAATGTTGATTCTTTTTTCCATTAGTTTACTGCAGGGGTCGGCAACCCTAGGCACAACTGATGGCACGGCCATAGCTAGACTGGTCATCGGGCATACCGGGCATTTGCTCGGTGGCCCGATGATTTTTTATTATTATTATTATTTTTGTAACGGTATAAACAATGAAAGGTGTTGGATTGGCCAAATGCTGGCCGGTGTGTAAAAATAACTCAGTTGGTTGGTGGTGGCATCGCGGAGCTTCCACAGATTCAGTAACATTAACAAGTGGTGGAGGCCAGCACGTGGATGAGGGAGATCGGAGGCAGGACGAGGAGAGACCTGAGGCGGCCGCTGGTCCGAGCGTCAGGTGAACTGAACTTCAGGTAAGAAGTTATGACCTGCAGTCTATCTGGGTCAGATATAAACCAAGTTTAGGTGTAGTTTATTTTCGTTATTCTGACTTTTTACAGTCAGTTACAATAACTCGTGCTGCGTACTAGCTAGCATGATGGAGTTTCTATACAGCTGGGTGGGTGCTATGATGTTACTGATGTTGAACTTTATTTAATTCATAAGGTTAGTTAGTAGAGTTGCCAACCGTCCCGTAAAAAGACGTAATC